TTACATTGTTTTCCCTTCATATGGCTTTACTTTCCTTAGTTATACTGCTCCCATGTGCCATTTTTTTCCAGTGTTAGCCTTAAGGAAAGGAAACTTTGTATTCATGAAGAAGGAAATCATGGTGGAAGGAAATGTGTGCAGGGTACATGAAATAGTGCTTAATCCTTTACCCTGAAGATGCTGGAGAATATCAGACAGGTTGGTGAGAGATGCCTGGGAAGTACAGAACAGTACAAGTTCCTTCTCGTGAGGAAAAAAAAGTGTCTTTCAGGAAATGGTGAATAACCTCTAAGCATAATGAGGTAACTGGGAAAGGGAAAGAATGGGTAACAGAAAAGCTGAAAACAATAGAAATTGTTGCTGCCAAAGCTGGGGTTTCTTGCATCTTTGAGGATTTCTTTACACTCATGTTTTTGAGATGCTTGAGATAGCTGCACTGAACTCTGAGGCTAACAGCTAAGAAACACTGCTCTGTGTCTGGCTGGGATTTGTGTTTCAGTGGCACGCTGTAGTTCCAATGGGATGTGCAGGGATGGGGAGGGACCCTCAGTGGAAGTCTTCTTTTTCAAGCAGATAATATTTCCCATCAGCTGCTGAGGGGCGCCAGCCTATAGGCCGAGTGAAGCTGACTTTTATGAAATACAGTAGGTCTGTTAATACCTGATAGATATTTCCAGATAGACAGGCAGTTCTTGAAGTTAACTAAGGATGACTAAGCCACGCCACTTCCCCCTCATTTATCCTCGTATCAAACTAGCAAAATACCAGTCCAACATGAATCTGTTTCCTCTAGTATTGTTAACAAGCTTCTGTGGGTCTAGGTCACAGGTGTGTGATGATAGCCTGAGGCTCACAGCACATTTAATGTTGTTATAGTCTTACGGTAAAGAAATTCCATTACCTTTTCCCTTCATATATTTGTATTTCAGGATCAGGCATTCTCTATCGCAGTCTAGAAGCATATACATCTGTGATTAAAGGTTCATGTGCATGCCATTAATCCTGTGTTACTTTTTATTATCTTTTTCAACAAGTGAAAATAAATGCCTTGAAGATATTCTGCACACTGGTTTATCAAAATGACACATTCAAAAGCTCTCTTTTAGACTAACAATAGGATTTAATATCCTGATTAATTCATTCCAACCTCATCCTCATTGTGAACAATGCCAAGTAATGTGAATTGTGTCTACGGTCTTGCATGTAAAGATGAGTTTTAAGTTTAACTAGTCAGTTCTGAAAACTTAGCTCTGATTCATTTAAAATTGTTTCTCTAGCTTGTTTTCATTTAGAGTTGCTGTGAGTGATTCTGCTCTATAAGCTTCCTCATTGGATTTGGTTAGTACTACTGTTGTGTCATAATCTGCTTTAATTGTCTACTAATTAGGGAAAAACTGCTCTGAAGCATGGTTTTCTAATAGAATTTTACCTGCTGGTAGCCTATGTGTAAGCAGAAAAGTTACCTTTATGGCAGAAGAGGTTTATAGGACTAGAATGTTTAGGCTCTCAAATATAACCCAAATAGATCTGTTTGTCATTGAGCTGTGTTTCAAAGCTTGCATCTTCCTGTGAGCCGCCAAAATAAGGAGTGTTTTTTGTTTGATATCTGAGATAGATCATTCATTGTTAGAGAAGTGGAAGGTAACTTAAATCAGATAAAATGCTTTAGAAGTATAACTTGATTGCAGTGTTTTGCCCCATTCTAAGCTTTGAAAGGAGATCATAAATGAGTTTAAAAGTGATTGCTTTTTCTCTTATGCTTGATATTGATGTGGGCTTAATAATGCTGGTTAGACAGCTAAGAAAATGTTGCTTAGCCTTTTCCTTATTGAAGACAACAAAATATTTTTAAGTTTTCTTGAAATAAGTATCAGGAAATAAGATCTAGAGCATGTGAAAAAGTATGATTCAGTGTTTATCAAGTTATGTTTTATTAATAGCAACAATGCTGTAAACAGATGCTTTAGTGATTACTTAAAATGAAACAAAATAGTCCCTGTATGGAGTAGGAGAAAAAGGATTTAAGGTCATGAATACTGTAACTGAGGGTTTTTTTTTAGTAAAAAAGTAAAAAACTGTGCCTGCAGCACAGATCCCTGTAGTTGGGTATGCACATGCTGCATGCTTTTTGGAAGCATTAAGCTCTCTGCTAAAACTCATATTCCAGTACTGCTTTTTTCTGTCCTCTGGTTTCTGCAGTGAAAAATACAGGGATGTTCCGTTTTTGAGTACCACACAGGTTTTGCAAAGCCTCATATTAAGTAGAGTTTGTTGCCATTCAGAATATGGAGAAAACTGTTGCCATGCTTCATGTGAAAATAAGCAGCTGTATTTCATTGCCAAGCCATAGGTTTGCTGAGCTCAGGTGTGGGGTTGGGGTTGATATCAGCATTCAGTGCATTACATGGGAGGTGATCACAGAGCTGGGGTTTCTTTCCTGTGTTAAGAAGGTCTCTGAAGCTAAGAGAAGCTAGGTCTAGTGTGAGGTGTCTCTGCCCATGGCAAGGGGTTGGAATTGAATGATCTTAAGGTCCATTCTGTGATTCTGTAGTGTGTGTGTCTTAAGTTTTTATGTTTATTTTCCAATGTATATGCTAACCTGCCTAGCATTTGAAAGACAGTGGTCTGTAGGAAGATAGTAGTGCTATTTCTGGTGAACGTGATTTTCTAGGCTACCATAATGTGGTTTGTTTTTTGTATGAGGTTTTTTAGTTTTTTTTAAATTTTATTTTTTTTCCTTTGTCCCTGTTTTCCTAAGAAAAATGGATTACAAAGTTGTGCTTCCTGCACAGGTCTGTCATTATTTCCATTTCACTTCCTCCTTACTAATTTTTAGTCCTTTGACAAATTTCAGATAGGTTTGTGACCAGTTCTGTAGTCTAAGTCTAAAGGATACTCTTTTTCCAGAAGATCCATGAAAAGGATTGCATGGTTGATTAATGCTCCCAATATGAGAAGAGAATGAGCTAAGTCAGAGAGCAGTAATTCTCATGGCTGTTCTTCTGAGGGTACACATTCACTGATTCTGTGCTCTTTAAGTATTACTTGTTGGGGGGACAGATTTTTTTTTTTGTGGTGGCTTGGTTATGTTTTGTTTTTGAAAAATTTCAAAAGGGTGGTTTGACTCCAATTCAAAATCTATGAATTTTAAGTTTTGGTGGCTTGTTTTCGTGTTATCAATCCTGATTGTTTTAAGATTACCATGTATTATTCCACTGTGTTTTCAACCATAAATCCAAGTAGAATTTTAGTATGGTAATGCAATTGAATAGTTTAAAAATGGATATACTGGTTTATTCCAAATAAACCACAATGTTAGGAAACACAGAAAGGAATGTTCTCTGCTTCAAGTTTAATTTTTATACTTGCCATAATGCAATCACTTTTGTTATACAAGTAAATAATACGGTACTGTGCTTATGACTCCTTAATGAAGAATTAGATTGGAAAATAACTGATTGTATTGTGAGACAAAGATATTGCTGCTCTTGTCATAAAACGGTAGAAGTGAATAATTTAGCAAATGTTAATAGCAGTTACCATATTACTGAATTCACAGCAGGATGTAATGAAATCTGTCAAATGCATCTGCAAAAATAATGTCTTATAATTCCTGTTGATGTTATGATGTCTTATTTTATTATTAACTATTATATTAGGCCAGTCCTGCTCAGTTCTTCATTAGAACACATTTTGGATTGAGAATTTTTCTGTATCTTAAAATACCTGAGAACAGTGGTGTGCCAGAAGTAGTTGTTTATTTCCAGGCTGTTGTTACTGTATCATAGAAATAAACTCATTGCATGAATGCCACATTATCCGGAATTAAGTAATGACTCCTCAAAACAAGTAGTGGAGAAAGACTTCACCTGATAGATTAATTAGTAGTTTAAATTGCTGTTGGTAGTGTAAGTTAGGAGATCTGGTTGAACATGGTGTTTGTTTGATCTGAATTGGTTATCTACTTTGTGCTGGATGTGGTTCACCTAGTGTTTCATGATTTCGTCCTTTGTTTTCACTCCCCTCCCTTTTTAGGGTAATTTTTCTGTTTCTGAAGTGTTTGACAGATTGTAGCTGTAGTTTCATGTACTGTCAAAGAGTTTTTTCCAACTTCAGCAGGTACATGCTTTCTCTCTTTCCTCCGTTCCAAGCAGTGGTTACTTTCCACCTCTTTTCAGGCATCTAGCATTAGCTTTCCCTGCTGTCTCTAGCCTATTTTAGGCTTTGTGGAATAAATGGTGCAAGTCTTGTGTTTGTAACTGGGCACATTTTACATTATCTGTTACAATAATATATTTTTGGGTTTTGTTGTTCAATCTTGCTTCTGAATATTAGTGAAACCTGTCATTGTGCTCTTTGAACATAGGATTTGATATGGTATGACTGATGTACTGTGGTAGGCAGTCGGTGATACTATTTGAATTTTACTGTCTGCTTCACGAAAGGAGTTGTGAGGTAGTTTTCTAACCTGCAGTCTCCTTGATTTGGGAAAAGTGTGTGTAAATCTTGGTAATCAGCTTAGCCATGAGCATGGTATCAGGATATGCTTCGCAGCACTTTCCCTTAGATTTAATCAGGTAACTTTGACTGAAATATGTTGGTTCTCCCTAAAACAAACTAAAAAATATTTAGTTGTTTTACCCACTAATTCAGTTTTGAATTAAATTTTGGGGAAAAAGATTTAAATCCTGCCATATGACAGGATATTACTATGATATTTGCTTGAGAATGTGAAAATAAAACTGCTTAGATAATTTTAATACTATAAACCAGAAAATACAAATGTGAAAGATAATTGGATTAAATAATTTGCTCATTTTAACGTGATTTTACCTGTCAGTATCTCTTCAAATGCTTCAGCTGGTGGAAATACATTATTAGATCTCATTCTCATTTTCAGTCTTTTGAAGTATAAACATTTCTTTGGAAGAAGAGCAAATCAGGATTAGTACAACGGTTTTCTGCTTTATATTGACTGCGTTCCTGTGCTTCATTTGAAGGTCATTCTGTGAGACTGCTGGGTCAGAAAAAGGATAATGGAAAACGTCTGGGGGGAGCACGACTGGATTTGCCAAAGATTAGGAAGAATCCACTGATAGAAATAATTTCCATCAATACAGGGTAAGAATCTTCCAAATTTATAAAACACCGAGTGTTGCTGAGGAATTCGATTTGTCTCTTTCTGCAGGCCTAGTGTGTTACTCCTAAGTTACACAGAAGGAGGCAGGATGACCACTTTTTAATAGCAGAAGATTTCGAATGGCATTCTTTCTGGAAAGTCACTTCTTATTCGAGCGCAGGACTTCTGCTGCTCCAGGGCTGCCTACAGTCATGCAGTCCTCTTTGTAATTCATCTCTTTGCCAAAAGAAGAAACCCTAAGAAAACTGGAAAAGAAAAAAGGGTTTAGAGTTCTTTTGAGTTTTAAGGAAACAGTTTGGAATATCGTCAGTAACTCATTAAGATCTTTAAACATTGTGAAGTTCTGTAAACACCCGATTGTCAGCCCAGCCAGATGTATTAATGGCAAAATTAATTATTTGCTTCTTGGCCCTCTAATATGTTTGTAAAGAATTATAATGCTTATATTTCAGTTTTTTGTTTGTTTGTTTGAACAAGCTTCTCTCTGCTTATCCAGCAACTCTGGATGCCCGTTTCTTCCATGAGACTACAACCAATTCTCTGTTCTGCATTTCTACGTTCAGGAATTCTATTTTAATCTTCCTTCCCTTGATGCTTTCCTTTTCTAAACTCCTCTTGATTATCTCCCATTTGGTCAGTTTCCTAAAAAACAAAACAAATCAGTCAAGCAAAAATACCCCCCCTCCAATCCCCCCAGTCCCCAACAAACAAATCCAAACAAAAAACAAACAAACCCCTCCACCCCTCTTCTTCTGATCTTCCCATCTTCTCCAACTTACGTTGTATTTCCCAGGTGGTAAAATATAAAATGCGTTGCTCTAGGCATCCCAGGGGAGTGTGAACTTGTTGCCAAGGGAAAAAAAAAAGTGGTAGATTTTAGCACTTTTTGTTTTGAGTTTATTCTAGCACTTTCATAAACATTTCGTAGAAGAGTTTTGCTACTATCCTTTTTCTCTCTTAATTCCTTGTCTTTAAGTAATCAATCCTGCCTTCATAATTTGCTGTAAAACCTAATGTGCTATTTAAGTCAGAATATTAGTTCAGGGCTTAGTGTGGTTGCTTTTTCTTCCTCTGACTTCAGGTAAACGTGGATGACATTTTGTCATCTTGCTGAATTGAAACTGCAGTTTCATTATTGATTTTTTTTATTTTTATTTTTAAAGTCTGGGTATGAACTTTTCTGGTGCAATTACTTCAGGTGTTCTATTTTTTTTTTTTTCCCCTTATTGTCTTTCTTGTTTATCTTGTTTGTGCCCATGTGAACAAAATCCTTTTCACCATTAGGAAAGTGTTCTTTTCCATGGTATAATTTTTCCTTTTCCTTTAGCATTTTTCACACTCTGATGTTCCAGTATCTTTCTAGTTGTAAATGTTGTCAAGAATGTAAACTAACTGAGCCATGGTCTTATTGACATGTCTTTTGATTTGTAGTAGTAGTGCATTGAAGATGGTAAAGTGTTTTGCTATTTCTGATGCTAGGATATTGCTAGCCTTGGCTGATAAGGGTCTGTGAAATTTTTTTAATCTATTTTGAACGTATGTATTTTCATACTGGGTTTTAAAAAATCATTTCCAAAGTTGATTAAACTGCAGACAGTTAACATCTCCCTAAGATGTTACTTTTGGAAAACCTTTTATTTGGAACCTGATAGCTTGCAAACACCAATTACTTTGCTTATTTATGGCTGTTCTCAGGTCAATAGAATATATTTTATACCATAGGATAATAAAAAAAAATAATAGTAGAAACCACAAAAATATGTTTACTTCACAAAGAATAAAGTAAAATGTTTTAAGAAGACGATAGTATTCTGAAATCTCAAACGAGTCAGTTGTATAAGACATCTAAATTAACTAACATCCCATTCTATGTTATATTGCATGCTCAGGGAATCCTGTCTCTCTTGAAATAAGTTTATTGTGTTTCCTGTCCTTCCCTTCGCCTCCCCTCCCCAGCCCCTCCGCCTGTGTATTGAAGATGACTTTTTTTGGTTACTACTTTGGGTTTGGAAAATAAAGTGTATCTTTAGAAAAGCAGCAGTTCTCAACAGTTTCTGAAAATATAAAAATACAGTTGGTGAAGAACAAGACACAGTACATGTTACTCATTGTGACTTGGCTGTATTTGTTTCGTCAGCTTTGCCTTAGTAAGTCTGGCTCTGGCAGTTTTTAGTACAATACTGTATTTGATCTGAACTGGCTTCTCTTTGTAAAAACAGGAGAAATCATTGAAGATTAGTTTTTGGTACAGTGTTCTTTATTGAGAGGTAAATTTGGATCAGACTACAAGGTCTTAAAATAGCAGGAAATAGTTTGTTTAAAATAGTGATTTCCTCTTTGGAAATAAGAGTTGTCTGGTGCTATGTGATGGTGTTCAGGAGCAGCCCTACTTGTGCTGCTCTGTGAGGGAGGGCAGGAAGGGACCCAAGGGTGCCCCCAACACAGGCAGGATATATAACACAAGTCTGAGATCCATCCTGGAGATGAGCACAGGGCTGGAGGCAGGCATGGTTTTTAAGCTTACACCAGGACTGGATGCACAGGCCTGAGCTTAACTGGCGCTTGTGGCCCACAGGAGGCTTGTGGAGAGAGCCACTGAAGCTGGTTAGGTCAGTTAGGGCCTGATGGTACCCACAGAGCAGTGACAGGTGGTGGCATATTACCATATACACATGGGATCTTAATAAACTCTTGGCCTCTTCTGTAATTCTGTTTGGGAAGAAAAAGCTTTGTGGGAACATGTGTATCCCTTAGCCCCAAAGTGTTTTGATGGCTCATGCTGACCCCTTTCCCTCTCCTGTAATATGAATACCTTTATGTATGTAGACACCTGCTAGCAGGAAGTATTCTTCTGAGAATTCAGTAGGACTAGTTTGTTTTTGGGAGTCTTAAGCGAATTGTGAAGATATCTCTCATTCTTACACAACTGAGCTTGAGAATCTGGGTGCAGTTGAAATGCAACACTAGAATAAGAGTTGTTTCTTAACTCAAGAGGGTGTCAAATTCTCATCAGTAATTTTGACTTGAGGTTTCTTGTTATTGATTCCTTCTGCTCTCAATACTGAAGGAGAAAACATTTCCTGTCCTGAAGGGTTCTGTTTTTGTATAACTGTGTTTTATTATTTTTACTTGCCTATGTACGAATGAATGCCTACGTATGCATGTTCCTTTGTGCGTGTTTTCCCCAGACAGCGGCTGTACATGAGCCTCCTCAGCTGTTCCTTTGCGTGAACCAAGTCTGTCTTATCAAGGGACAAATATTTGTGTCTCCACTACAGTATACAGCCAATAATGATAATAATAAACGAAAATGAAACCCCATAATGTATGGGATAGTTATGAAGTGCTGCTTCTGTACATTGTGAGTCAGCTCAGAGTTGTCACACAGTGGCACGTTAGTGGCAGCCATAAAAAGGTGTTGCTGTTTGCTTAGAGTTACCTGGATCTTGTTTACTATTGGACTTTTATTTCAGAAGTAATGGACAGTTTTTTTTTCCTACTGTTAATTTGGTTGCTCTGAGGTTTTCTGTTTTCTCATTTAGAAATCCAGGCTATCTTCATCTCTTTGTTTTACCAAGGCAGTTAGTGGTTTCTGTCAATAGACTGTGACTCTAGAGAAAACCTTCCGTCCCAGAAGCAAAATATTTAGAGCTTCCAAGTATGTCAGCAGAGACCATGGTGAGTACCAGAAAGGGGTCACAAGAGACTTGCCAGCCTTCTATGGCACACAAAGATATGTTAACGAATCTTAATTTTTCCATGTGCCGAATACATACGGAATCTGTACCATCCTAGTATCTCATACAAAGTTGACCTCTGTAACTTTCCCTTAAGGAGTAAGTGACCCTTTCTTCCTGTATTGTTTGCTTTCTCTGTTATAACTTAGAAAACATTCCTCAATATTTTCAAAATCAATTATTCATTTTTTTTTTTTTTTTCTGTGGAATAGGCAGTTAATATAATTTGGTGATTCCAGCAGGGCTTGGATAGTTGTCTTAGTATCTAGCAAGTTCTGCAGCGATATTAGTGGATCTCAGGTTAGAAACAGTAATTTGCTTGTGTCCTCCAAAATAATTTTCTACTTTGAATTAAAGGCATTTGGTTCAATCTCTTTCACTTTTATTTGACCTAAGCAGGTATCGTAGAGGTCATCATACTGGAACAAGCATGGTAATAGTAGAATAGCATGTTGAATGCTGTTTAGAGAAAAGGCATAAAGTTGTTCACTAATCTCCTAATGTGATTATTCTGTTAGTTTGACGGAAGACAGAGAAATGTTTCCAAATCCGCTTTTTGTTATAGCTTCATTTTAGTCTACGGAAGAATCTTTTCTCCTTGTGATCTAATCTTCATTAGTGCCAGTTTCATAACCTATGTAGCTACTTAGCTCTCTTTAATAGGATTGAGACTTGGTCTTCCACCTTTTAATTAAGTAATTCTGTATCATGAACTTGCTGCTTGTACTCTTACATACTGACCTGTCTGTGATGTTGGCACGGCCTGAGCTCCCTTACGTCCAAGTTGCTGCCACTCACATACATTTCAAACACGATTATTATTTTACACTACTATTTTGTACTTTTGTTAAGATGCTTGGAAAGCATGAGAGGAGTGTAATATGAGCTGAATATGAACCCACAGTAGAACTTCCTGTTGGGTGGGTTTGCATGTAGGTTCACTGAAGTGCTTTGTATACTCTTTCTGAAGTTTCTGCCTCTTTCTTTCCTTCTGGAGCAGGCAGGTTATTCTGCTGCTGATGCGCATGCTTGCATTAGGCTATCCTGACAGCTGCGATCTGGTGTAACCAGTGTTAAATTTGCAATATGAACATAACCAAAGGGCCAAGTCTCTGTCCAAGTTTTCCTGTTGTTCTCCCTCATTTGAAGACACTGTAAAAGTTTGATATAGTCTCATTCTCTTGTTACTTTTATAGATTCCCTTTTTAAGCTACTCAGAGGGCAGGGAGATGTTTAAGATTCAG